TAGAATTCAAAGTGGACAAGCATTCCGTAGGAGGCTGTGGGGGTATAATCGGGAGAAAGAAAGGAGCTGTTGCCATGCGCATCAACTACAAAGGAATTAGAATGGTCTTCATCTCTTGTCATCTCTCTGGTAAGCCGTAAGCCCACTCATCACTGGATGGAAAAGCCCAATGGACATTAATATAGCCCATAAAAAGGCCCACCCAAAAATGGGCTAATATATCCTTTTTGCCTGTATGCAGCCCATGCTCGGAATGTGGAAGAGAGAAATTCACAGTGCAGACACATTTCTCATTCCGTCTTCTCCAAGCACCGGAGCCCATATTCCAGACCCGACCAAGTTACAATTTGGCTGGGAGATCTTAATTACAGGATACAGGGAATTAAGACATTCCCTGCTAGAAATTTAATAAAAAAAGATTTACACAAGGTGAGTCAATTAATTCTTAATTTCTTAAAAAAAAATTGTATCACATTAAAAAGTTAATTCCTTAACATTACTTTACAGATGATTCAATCTCTAGCATTAACTTAAGAATTAATTCTTAAACAGTAGCATGTATTAGAGTTTTTGGGTCTGTTGGAGTTTTTATTTTTTTAGTATTGTTTATGAGTCATAAGTTTAAATTTTTATTAGAGAAAAAAATTTAAAAATTACTTTTAAAAATAATAAAAAGTGAATAAGAAATAAGTAAAAAAGAAGTTTATAAATAACAAAAGTTTGAAATTTTTTAAAATTTACTGTTTAATATATTTTTAATGTTAAAAAGAAGTTAAAATTTATAAATTTTTAAAAGAAAAATATAAATTTACAAAATATAAATAATGTTAAAAAACTAAAGCACTAATTACGAGTATCACCAAACATGCTCTTATTGTATCTTGTTCATTTTATGTCTGTTGCATGCAGTTGCTCACTGGAAAAGATCAGCTGCTGCAGGAGGCAGAGAGAGGGCAGATCTTTAATGGTTATTGCGAGGGGACGCTAACATTTAAACCGACGTATAAGTATAATGTTGGAAGCAGCAATTATGACACTAGTTACAAGGTTTGTGTGTATATAATTATACATATGTTTATTAACTTGTTTTAATTGTAGCTGTGATCTCAGAAGAAAAATTATTGTCTTTGATATGAAAATTTTATGGTTCCACACATTTTTCCTTGATGGCACAGGTACGAGTTCCTTCGTGGACAGATCGAATCTTGTTCAAGATTGAAGATCCTAAAGAAATCAATGCAACTTTGCACTGTTATGAATCTCTTGATGATATATACAGTTCTGATCATAAGCCAGTGCGAGCTCATCTTTGCTTGAAACTTAGCCGTTAGTTCTTCTTCCCCTGTTGGGTGAATGGTTCAAAGTTAGAACCTTCGGTTGGGGCTACCCCAACCCCTTCCCCCACTGTATTAAAAGAGAAAAGAAAAGAAAAACGAATTGCTCCATATTGTTGTGGGAAAATTTCATTTTGGGGGAAGGGAGAAAATTTAGACATTGTAAAATTGGATTCAATCTGAAAATTCGACTCAATCCATCCGTTATGGGTAGGGTTATAGATTCTATATGTTAATATGAAATCTGAAATAACTCAAACTAAAATTATCCGAACGCAAATGGGTTAGGTCATGGGTGGGTCGGGTCATTCAAAATGACCGAAACTTTTTTTATTTATTTTTGTTAGATTATTTAAAAATTAATGTTAAATTTCTAATTTCTTAATCCTAAAAGTAAAAATAAATAAAATACTCAAACCCTAACCTTTCATCAATTTCACTTTCTCTCAGTTTTTCCTCTTCTCCACTCACGTTCTCCCCTTCTTTATCTCAAACCCCCTAATCCTTCTCTTTGATGGCAATTGTATAAAAAATTAGATTATGTAACATATAATGAGTTATGTTATATGACATCATAAAAAAATCATTTAAAAAAAAATAAAAAGCAAGAATACTTATTGAAAATCAAAACCTAGTAGTTGAGATACTCTCATAACCATTAAAAGTACAAAGATAACAATATCAAGAGCATCAAGGTCCGTTCTTAGTTGTTAATTTATTCTTAATTAATAATTTGTTCTTAATTAATAATTTGTTCCTAATTAATAAAAATCAATTTCGATCTAATTTCTTCTTGTATTTAGTTAGAGATATTTTGGATTTACCTTTTTAAACTTTAATATTGAATAGGGTTATATTTTTTTGTATAATACCCTCCTAAATATTAAATAGAATTGTATTTTTTATATAATGCTCTTATAAATATTGATAGGCACTAGATATTAATATATATTAGATTTATCTTTTGAACTCTAATCCTTTCTATCTTTTCTTTTATTGAAAGTTAATACTTTTATAAAATTATGAATTCTAAATATTATATAGGTATTATATATTTAACATATATTTTAGTTTTATCTATATAATCACTAATCTTTTCCTTTTCTTTTTTTGAGATTGAAAAAAATTGAATTATGAAATGAAAATTAACGTTTAATAAAGTTTTCTAACTAAATAGTTAATTAGTAATAAAGTTTTTTAACTAAATAATTAATTAGTATTAGATTTTATAAAAAAAATAAAAATATATAAAAAAAATTTAATTTTAATTTTTTAAAAGTTAAGCCTATTTAATTTAATAAGAGATTCATATAGATGGGTCATGAATTAATTTCTTTAACTCGACACTCAAAATAAGGTTGAATGTTAAATTTAATCCCTCAACTTTAAGAAATGCATATTTTTTATCCCCCAACAATTTTTTACATTTTTTTTATCCCTCAACTCTAAAAATTGCACAGTTTTGGTCCCTCCGTCAGTTAAGTATGATGTGGTAGTTAAATAATTTCATGTGACATTATCTTTTAATTTTTTTGATGATGTGGCAATAATATATATTTTAATTATGTTATATAAATAAATAAAATAACACGTAGATTAATATTTATAGTTTAAATAAAAACAAATAAAATTACCTAACTACCCTCACCCACCCAATCCCTCTTCTTCCCCTTCTTTCTTTCTCTTTCTTTCTTTCCTGCCCTGGGTCTCCACTAGGCTGGATTCCAATGGCTGCAACGAACCCAGCCTGCTGGATCTCGTCGGAACCCAGCCTTGCTGGGTTCGGGGAGACCCAGCCAGGCTGGGTTTGACGAAACCTAGATCTGTTGGGTTCCGTTGAACCCAACAAGGCTGGGTCTCGTCGAATCCAACTTGGCTCCCTTTTTGGGTTTCGACAACTCCCTTGCTGGGTTTCGACGAGACCCAACAGGCTGGATTTCCCCGAACCCAGCAAGGCTGGGTTCGTTAGAACCCTGCTGGGTCTCGTCGAACACAACCTTGCTGGGTTCGACGAGACCCAGTTGGGTTCCGATGAACCCAGCTTTGCTGTTTCGATGCTAGATTCATGTTTTTTCATTCTTCTTTCAATTTTCATTTCTAGTTGTTAATAAATTTGAGAGTTGATTTACAATTTGATTGTATTTTTGTTGGAATTTGATTAGAGTTTCATTAATATTGTTTATTGAAGGGTTAATTTGATTTGATAAGATTTACTAAGTTTGAGGCTTCAATGAAACCCAGTAGCTGGGTTCAATTTCTCAAGTTCTCTTGAGAAAAGAGAAGAAGAAGAAATGGGTTAAGATCGATTTTGTAGAGGAGTGGAGATGAGAGAGCATTAAGAAAAGAAGAAGAAATGGGTTAAGATTGATTTTGCAGATGAAGTGGAGATTGATTCTGTAGATGGAGTGGAGATTGATTTTGCAGAGAGTGAAGATGAGAAAGGAAGATGATATGTCGCAAAAAAAGTCCAAATCAGCACATTTTTAAGTTATTTTTGCCATGTCATAAAAAAAATATATAAAAAATGCCATGTGGCCAAGTTAACGACGAAAATTGACAGAAGAACTAACAGAGTGCATTTCGTATAATTGAGGGATCAAAAAAGTGCAAAAAATTGTTGAAGGACCAAAAATGTGCAACTCACTAAAGTTGAGGGACCAAATTTAGCATTTAACCCTCAAAATAATGACCCAATCCAAATAATCTGGAATTTAAAAGCTTAAATGCTAAATTTGGTCCCTCAACTTTAGTGAGTTGCACATTTTTGGTCCTTCAACAATTTTTTGCACTTTTTTTATCCCTCAACTATACGAAATGCACTCCGTTAATCCTTCTGTCAATTTTCGCCGTTAACTCGGCCACATGGCATTTTTTATATTTTTTTATGACATGGCAAAAATAACTTAAAAAGGCACTGATTTGGACTTTTTTTGCGACATGTCATCTTCCTTTCTCATCTTCACTCTCTGCAAAATCAATCTCCACTCCATCTGCAGAATCAATCTTAATCCATTTCTTCTTCTTCTCTTAATGTTCTCTCATCTCCACTCCTCTACAAAACCAATCTTAACCCATTTCTTCTTCTTCTCTTTTCTCAAGAGAACTTGAGAAATTGAACCCAGCTACTAGGTTTCATTGAAGCCTCAAACTTAGTAAATCTTATCAAATCAAATTAACCCTTCAATAAACAATATCAATGAAACTCTAATCAAATTCCAACAAAAATACAATCAAATTGTAAATCAACTCTCAAATTTATTAACAACTGGAAATGAAAATCGAAAGAAGAATGAAAAAACATGAATCCAGCATCGAAACAACAAAGCTGGGTTCATCAACCCAGCTTGGTCTCGTCGAACTCAGCAACTGGGTTCGGGAACACCCAGCAAGGCTGGGTTCAACAAGACCCAGCAGGGTTCGTCGGAACCCAACCTTGCAGGGTTCGTCGGAACCCAACCTTGTTGGGTTTGAGGAAACCCAGCCTGCTGGGTCTCATCGGAACCCAACAAGGGAGTCGTCGAAACCTAGCGAGGGAGACCCAGCCAGGCTGGGTTCAACGAGGGCTGGGTCTCCCCGAACCCAGCAAGGCTGGGTTCCAACGAGATCCAGCAGGCTGGGTTTGTTGCAACCATCGGAATCCAGCTTGGTGGAGACCTAGGGCAGGAAAGAAAGAAAGAGAAAGAAAGAAGGGGAAGAAGAAGGATTGGGTGGGTGAAGGTATTTAGGTAATTTTATTTGTTTTTATTTAAACTATAAATATTAATCTACGTGTTATTTTTATTTATTTATACAACATAATTAAAATATATATTATTGCCACATCATCAAAAAATTAAAAGATAATGTCATATGAAATTATTTAACTGCCACATCATACTTAACTGACGGAGGGATCAAAACTGTGTAATTTTTAGAGTCGAGGGATAAAAAAAATGTAAAAAATTGTTAAGGGATAAAAAATGTGCATTTCTTAAAGTTGAGGGACTAAATTTAGCATTTAACCAATTTAAAATGATATAATCCAAACCTACCTAATCCAACGTGTTTGCCAGGTATAGGGGAAATCAATGGTT